CTCCCTCTCTCCCCCCTCTCTCTCCCTCTCTCCCCCCTCTCTCCCTCCCACTTTTATTTGTTTTGTGATGGACTCACATTCACATTCTATAGGTCTCGCTGGCCCTGAACCCACTCTGTAGCTCTAGGTGATATCAGTACTGCTGGTCTTTTCTCAGCCTTCTTTTGAATGCAAGATGGAGGTGTGAGATGATGCCACACCTGGCTTATGTCCCCCTTATGTTTGAGGTTACTTCCCTAGAATAGAATTCTGTAATTAGAACTGCTTAAAACTACCACATTGAAAGTGTGGACATGTGTTTACTGAGAAGCCATTTTCTGGGATGCCAGTACCACACTTTTTCTTGGATTATCATGAAGAAACAATTTAGTAATTTCATGTGATTGCTCAGCATACTTATTCCTAAGACCATGCTGATGCTTGACAATCAGTTACCTAAAAGCGTGTTTGATAGATGTTAAGATACAATGTACTTGACAGGGGCATCTTCTCCTAACTACGTGGCGTTTGAATGCTGCTTGATGTTCTAGTACAGGGCCAAGAACTATGTTTGGGGATGCAGGAAAAATAGGGTTTAAAGTAATCCCTGAAAAGCTTCAAATGTGAACATTTTTTCTTCTTGCCAATATGTTAGATCAACTATTTCTGGTCATTGCTTCACTAGTTATTTTCCTGGGTACTAATAAGGTCAAATACTCTTCCATTTGTTCCTCAAAGAGCTGCTTCTAATTGTAAATTATCCTTTGGTTACTTATCTACTTAGCGTTAAATGTTTACTTAAAATACATTTTATTGCAGCAGAGTTATTACAAATAGCATCTAATTTTATTTTGATATTTAAGCTAGAGGAGTTTTTCTCTAATATAAAGTGCCAGACATTTTCTTTGTATAATCATAAAGATTTCAAAAGCACACTTGGTCTCTCTAAAATTGTATGCAAATAAACTACACATAATTTTATTTTTATTTTGCATCTCCTTGTGTTCACCTCAATAATGTACCTAAAGCTATCATCTATACCTAATAGAATATATTTGATTTAATTCTGAAACTTAGGCAGGCAAAGACTAGACAGTTTTCTTCTGCTGTATTTGTAGTTCATGTTTTAATGCACGCTAAATTTAAGTTTTCTTGCTGTCTACTTCCATGGGGTCTTGTGTCACTTTAAATTAAATTATACTAAAGAAGATATCAGTGAATTTGGCCCCCTCCAAAATCAATGGGAGAATGAAGTAATGGTGTTGCCATTTTAATAAGTAGCATGGTATCCCCTAGTGCCTGTCGGGGGCTGCACAATGTTACATGAAAGAATGTATAAGGTAATATATTTGGGAAGAGCCCCATATTGTGCCATTAATACCCGCATCCCTTTCAGAGTCATTTCTCTACTGTGTTCAGTGTCGGGTTACAAAAACATTTTATCATTAGCGCAAATGCATCTCTTTAATATCCATATTCAAAATTTACTTTATGATCCCCAGCTTCAATGAACTCCAGAAAAAATTAACAGGCTGTAAAATTACTCCCACTGGAATTTTTACTTGAATTGCATCAAAACTAGAAATTAATTTGTGCAACAAGTGATATTTTCATTGCAAATACTTCCCCGCTCATGCATGCATTTTCGCTCCTTAGCTCTCCTTATAGCTTTCTCTAATTTTCTTTACACTGCTCTTCATAAGTATTTCATTAATTTTGTTGTTACAGCTGTAATGATTCAAGTTATTGTTGCTGCTATGGGAAGTTACATTCATATATTTTGAATGATTTACTTTCTATTTATTACTGTTACACAGAAAAGTTATTGTTGCAAATTTACCTTACAACCTGGGAATATGCTTGAGTTATTTTATCAACTCTAACAATTTTTTGTAGTATTGTATGGTTGAATTAAGACCATTTTGAGCTGGACTTTGTGACTGCTAAATTATCCTTTGTTCATAAAGTGGATGGTGGGAATAGGCTGCAGAGTAAGAATTTAGAAAGTAGCTGTTGGAGATGGAATTGTTTACTTTATTTTAGAAGAGGGTGATGAAAATAACATTTAATAACTACATATTGATGTCATGTGAAGCAGATACAGAAATGCCAATACCTGTAGGAAAGAGAGGTTTTATTTTGGGGTGGTCACTGGAAGACCTCTGTACTTCAAGATCCCCTGAGTCACCTAACATGCTCTCTCCTGGGCTGTTGATCAGTTCTCAACTCAACCCTTCTCAGCTTCTGGTGTTAGTGTACTCTTAAACCTTTTACTGGGAAGGGAGGCTCTTGCTCAGAGTCGCCTAGGATGTCTCAGGTCAACATATAGCATTTGAAGCCCAAGTGTCTTCTATGGGCCAGCATGACAAAGGCAGCAATCCTAAGCAGAGCTCCCACTAAGTTGATCCACATAACTCTACAGTAGAACGGGAAGCTGGATGTGATGAACAGCCAGTCAGGACCACAGAGAGAATGGATACAGAGGCCAAAGAATGCACCGGCTTCTATAATGGAAGATAGATCCTAGATGGAACCATTTCAGCCAGTTTGAATGTACCACATCCTAATCATAAATGATAATGTTCATTCTAGCCTAAGGCCCAGAAGTCACTTATAATAGAATTTTGTTGTTTGTTTTAAAGAAAACTTTCATGTTCTAATTAATGGAAATTTCCCATTTGGTAGTTTATTTAGAAGGTAATGATAAGTGTTAAATGAGATTTACTGTGTGCACTGACTCTACTGGGGTGTTTATTTAAGGGGTCTGTGGCCTGCAGGAGATTAGAGCAAATGATGATGGGAACTGAACGTGTTGAATAGCACCACAATGGCAACAAATTGAGCCTGAAAGATCCAGGCTCATACAACACAGCTGATCTTTCTGCATCCTAGAATTTTGTTCTTTGGACTTGCACAAGTGTCCTGTTTATTTAAGTGCATTTAATCATCACCATGTGAGGTTCTCCCCTTGTGTATGTTTTTCTTGTATTTAGAAAGATCATTTAAGGACTTGTTGGGACACTATATATCACATGAGAATGTGTTTACTTCTGAATCATCATACTTTATTTGTATAAATGGACTCATCACAATTTTAAATGTAATGATACTCAGGACAGGGCTCGGCCATATGCACTATGTACAGTGTTAATTTCTGGGTGGACTTGAAATTATGGATAACTTATGGTTTGTTCAAGTTAGGATGAAGCTACCATCATAGACACATAACGATCATGACCAATTAGGCCAAAGTATCTTTTGCAGCAGCTTCTAGCTGAATAAACGCTTAGCAAGCCAAGCATACAACATTTCTCTGTGACTGGTGCACTGCTTTTTGTTCTGCATCTACTTAGTGACTGATTGGTTAGCTATATTCTCTCCATTTGTAACTTTTGTATAATTTCTCACTGTGAAGATTTCTAGCACTTACTTTCATAACATTGTTGAATCCATCACACTCAAATGAGATCTCTTAAGAGGCTTTTGGGTTGCACCCAGCTAGATTCCCTCAAGTTCTGTGTCCAAAATACATGGTGTCTTCAGCAATAGAGATTCACTTTCAAGTTCTGGGAAGCAACCAAGTGCAACAGTACTGATTTTATACACATACACTTATACAAACATATGAATATATTATGTCATTTGATGTAAGGACAAAACAATACTATTCTTATGGCTTTTATGTGTATAACCTAGAATAACTACAGAAACCAGATAACTTAAACAGCAACTACAATATGAGGAGAGAAGTTATAGGGATGGGAAAAGGTGGACACAGATACTATGGATGGGGGACGAGGAAAATGGGCAGAGGATTTTAAAAGTGAGGAGGAGACAATACTGTAAGAGGACAGATGACACTAAGAATAAGTGACACTAAGGTCTGACAAAGCAGACACTGTTATCAGACTGTTTCAAGAATTCAGAGGTCATCACCCAGCAGTCAACTAGAGGCTGCTCCTGAGACAGGCTTTCTTGGAATATGTTAGGTTTGGGCAATGCAGAGCTACTGAGTTGACCTCATGTTGACCCTTGGCTATGAGTAATGAAAGTTAATCTATGTAACTTAGAGCAGCGTCTCGCAAAGAAGGGAGCTAGGCACACATGAATAAGAAATAAGGGCAATGGCAATTCTTCTAGTAAACTTTCTGAGCTGCAAGGGGTATGTTAACTTGGAATAGAAGTAAACAGTGTAATATGTACAGTGTGTTAATAAGTCCCCTATATTTGTAATGCTATTCATTGGAAGTATATCAAATGATGTATTTGAAATATTTGTGGATATTTTATTAAGGTATTTTTGTATATACATAAAGCAAAATTCTAAAACTTTGTTCATTTGTATTTACAGAGCCATAAAATCAGAGAAACAATGAATGCAGATTCAAGCTGTTGAGGAACACAACATATATCAGGTAGAGGAGTCATTCTCCATCCTTTCATTACACTGATAACTACGCAAACATATTACTTTTTATTAACCAACTATTTTATAGTTCTGTTATTTGATGACCTAGATAGGTGTTAGTGCATATTGTAAGGTAGTTGAGCAGACTCTGAAGATAAATTAATTGCTTTTTTATGTTAAATTATATTTGGGGGCTTCAGGTATACTGTATATATACAGAAATGCAAAAATTAACAAACTATCCTTACCCATTAGGAAGTGACCTCTGAAAGACTTTACACGATTAAACAGAATACACATGTCCATTCTTGCGTTCCTAAGACTTGAAGTTCAGTAAGGAAAACTTGACTTTTAAAAACATCCATACATGAGGAAAGTTTATGATCAATGCTATTTAGGAAAAATGCAGAGTTCAGTATGGCAAAATACTGAGGAAGAATGAGAGAGTCTACTGAGTTTACACAAATACTATGTATTGTCCTGTATGTCCTTTAATTAAGACCTGAAGAGTGAGAATAAAGATACTCAGGCTGATTGAGGAACACTGAATAAACATTGAAGAAGGAGGAAGAAGAGGAGGAAGAGGAAGAGGAGGAAAATGAGGGGGAGAAGGAGAGGAAGAAAGGAAGGAAGGGAAAAGAAGGAAGAGGGCACAGGAAGGAAAAGACCAAGAAAGAAGGTAGAAAAAAATGGAATGGGTATTGTGACATCAGCGGGGTCACAGGGTGGAGACACAGTGGAGAGTGTGACATCAGCAGGGTCACAGGGTGGAGACACAGTGGAGAGTGTGACATCAGCGGGGTCACAGGGTGGAGACAGACAGTGGACAGTGTGACATCAGCGGGGTCACAGACAGTGGACAGTGTCACATCAGCAGGGTCACAGACAGTGGACAGTGTCACATCAGCAGGGTCACAGACAGTGGAGAGTGTGACATCAGCAGGGTCAAAGGGTGAAGACACAGTGGAGAGTGTGACATCAGCAAGGTCACAGGGTGGAGACACAGTGGAGAGTGTGACATCAGCAGGATCACACGGGTGGAGACAGACGTGAGAGAAGACTATGATGAAGAGGGTAACTAGCCTGGCATTACAGGCTTTAGTCCTTATCATTAGCTGTCCCTGGACCAGTTTGCTTTGGTCAGTTTACCCTGTGGTTTATCAGCTCCATGCCCCTGTGTTTTCTTTTGAGTTCCTGCCTACAGGTGGTTTCAAACCTATCCCTTTTCCCCAGGCTTTTCTTGTCATTTCCCAAGGAAGTGCAGTGAAAACGGGTCACTGCTATACAGAGACATGGTCACCATGTTCATTCCTTCAAATATTACTTCCCTGTAACATTCTGTATAGTATAATTAGGTAAAAAAAGAGTTTGAAATTGTCTGAAGACTGAAATTCACAAGTGCTTTGAGCACGGATGAACAGTGTAGAGTTTTACACATTATGCAAAAGCAAAACTCACACATACATATCTGCACATGCACGTATGCAGACATATGCATGAATATATAATTGTATTTATTGTTTGTATTTATCTTAATATTTCCCAAAGCTGTTTAATGGATTGTAGTGTGAGCGGTTGCAGAGGATTCTCTTGGGACCTGTTTTATGATATTCCTTTACACCTGAGCCTAGCCTACCTTTAGGTAATGAGGCCTGTTTCATGTGTATGCGTATTAAACCAACTCAGGCAGATTCCTAGGATCTAGATAATTCAAGCCAGGATATCTGCTTGCCTCGGTGGTTTAGCTTCATCCAGCACAGGATTTTTCTTGACCTAGATTATGTTGCTAGTTTTTTTTTTTTTCAAGAACTCAGTATATTTGAGAGTGAAGACTTAGCCTGAGGTAGCATTAAGGATTTCTAAACAAGAGCTTAATAAATAAATTTTTAATGTCAGCATTAGCAATGTTGATTTTGAAAGTCAAAGCAACACAGGAAAACCACAAAGATACTGTTTGCATATCAACTAATCTGACTCATTCCTTTCTATCAAAAAATGCTTATTGCTGATTTTTTAAATTCTCATAATTTAAGCACCCTTCTCCCTGATCAAGCAAACCTCTTGCAGTGGGGGTCAAAGAGCAAGGCCGATGCCTAGTGCAGTGTGCTAAAGAATGCTCACATGAGGTGGGATTTCCTACCTGAGCTGATAGAATGCTCACATGAGGTGGGATTTCCTACCTGAGCTGATAGAACGCTGGAATGAGGTGGGATTTCCTACCTGAGGTGATAGGAGTCCCAAGAACTCTGAGATCTAGCGTTCATTTACATTTTACAAAAAGGAAGTTTAACACTTGTGTGAGAAAGGTCATGGGCTTTTATAGATGAAGTCAACATCTTTCAGTTAAATTAATTATTATTTAAAAAGAAGAAAATCACAAATAATTGCCCAAAGTTACGTTTCATCCCAGAAAGACAAGATGCAGCTGCCTTTTAACTATTCTTCTTGTCATTTGCTTCCAACTAGAGATGCATTTCAAATTTGGGATCTAATTAGAAATCTTAATTGAAAATGGTTTTTTTTTTTTAACAAAGAAAAGAAAGCAAAATGATTGGCACGGAAGCATAAAAATGGGGAGAAAAACAGAAATAGTGATAGTCCACTCATACTGAGCAAGCACCAGTCTGGGTCTGAGGTGGTCTCTGGGAAGTTGCTATCAGAGTGCAATCTGAACATCACTCAAGAGTTTTCTCAAGCAAAAGAAATGGCTCATTCTCCATAGCTTATAATTCCTAAAGCTTTCCTTCCTTCCTTCCTTCCTTCCTTCCTTCCTTCCTTCCTTCCTTCCTTCCTTCCTCCTTCCTTCCTTCTTCCTTCCTTCCTTCCTTTTCTTCCTTACTTCTTTCTTTAAAAAAAAAAAAGACAGTAATATTAAATTCTAAAGCCCAGGGTAATTTTCAACTCCCACACTTTCTGTGTTGCCCTGCACTCATTTTTTAACTATGTCTAAATTTCTTATACATCTCCATTGTTAGATTTTCTAATCTCGCTTTTCAGCATGATTTCTGCCTTGTCTTGGGTCTCCACTCACATGTTGTCTGATGCTTAGCAGCCAGCCTAGACAGACAGCAGTAAGCACCAGAAAGGAAACAGTGGGAAGTAAAATAAGAAAGCTTTCAGAACATTACCACAATATCTAGCTGTCTGTTGCCAATGAAAACACGGAGACCTGTGCTTATTGATTCCGCCCAACAGAGGCAAAGACTCAAAGGCAGATGCATTGATCTTTCACTCGGACGATTCTTGCAGATGATATATGCAGGGTGTACGTCCTGCTTAGAGTCCGGGCAGCACGTTGCTGAATTGCACGTGGCACTTTGAGTGTTATTAGGTATGGTAGACACTCAGCATTTGGTTCATTGAGTGACACTGTAACCTCACAGGATCAGGGACAAATAAGCCCATTTGTATTCTTCTTTGGATTACAAACCGTGCCTAACATAGAGGGAGAGTGAATCACAGCCTCCCGTGAGTGACTCCATTAGATGACATCACACCTATATCCTGCTTCCACCATTTTGCTTGCTTTGCTAACATTCATGCACCATCCACACCCTTAGACTTTTGTCTTTGTTTTCATTTCAAATACTCTGTGCCCACTGCCTTCTTATTCTTTCTCTCTTCATCTCACTCTTTTCATCTTCTTCCTTTTCTCTGTCTCCAAATCGTTTAAATTCCTGTCACATAACGTATCCATGCCAGGTGCCCCTGAGATCATCATTTTATTGCTCTCTGTTTTGCTTTGTTTTCAGAAAACTATGGCGGGGTCCAGCCTCAACGGGTTCATACATTCCAGATTAGGGGCGTGTGGATTCAAAATGTTAGGCAGAAAAAACCGAGACACCAGATAAAAAGACAGGACTTAGGAGAGAGTTGGGAGGGCAACCCAATGAATACAGAATTTGCCCACTTTTTATACCCATATGCTTTATATATCCCAATCCAAAAGTGAGGGAGAAGGCAAGACTTCTTTACCATGATATAAACAAGAAACAAAGTAGTTACCTCTTCAATACCCAAAACAGCAAGCAACTATATCCTGAGTTAAGTGTTCTGTTGATTAGGCAGGACATGAAGTGACCACACCCTAGGTCAAGCATCCTGTAGGCAGGCACACCCCGGGTCAAATCTCTGTCATAACCTCGAAGGAGCAAGAATAGGCCTGAACTCTCTTACCTTTGGTCAAGGTGGAACAAATCTATATTTATGGTGTCTGACAAAAGTATGCTCTGTTTGACATCACTATAGTCTGAGCTCAGCACAGAGTTCATGACAGCCAAGTCGCAGGCATGTCCAAGCACCTTCCCTTTCTCTCTCTGTTGCATCCTTTACCCCTTTTCTACCATGAGAGTGGGCCACTAGAAAACTTGTGACTTGATCCCATCTCAACTTCTGTACTACTAGAGGGATGAATTCAGGCCGGGAGCATCAAGACAAAGGTCCTGTCTGTTGTCTGTGTCAGGTGACTTGGTTTTCAGTCTTCCCTTTGTATTCCTCAGAGACAGGAGCCAGGCTCTGATTCCCAGTGGGACTTTGGTTCTCTGTTAACTCCTTGCATCCTTTTCTTCCTGTCCTTTCCTTTTGTTCCTTCCCTGATTTATGAATTACATGTACGTGATGCTGAACACCATGTCTGCATAAATGCTTCTCTACTGCCCCTCACCTGTTCTCTTAGTACAAAAGGTTATAGAACAGTCAGGTGAAATGAATGCATCTTGCTTTAGTGGTCCTTCAGCATCTGTGGGTGGCATGCTTTCCATGTGCTCCTGGTTACTGGGAGAGTCTTCAGCTGTAGTTTTATATCCTGATTCAAAATGGTACACCAAGAACTTATGCATGTTACTATATTTACTTGTTGTCATAGTTTAATACATGGGAATTACCATTTACCCAGTATGCAAAAACATATCCCAAAAGTAGCGTGTGAAATGAATTCTCCAAAGAGCCACAGTAAACAGAAGAGGCTTGGCAAGCGGGGCTGATAACTGGCTTCTTAAGGACTTGCTA